TGCATACAACAATAACTTTTTTAATTGATGGAGTTTACAAAAATTGAAATCATCGGACTGTCAAATTCAAAATCAGTTGTGTGTAAATGAGAGGAAATTCCCCACAAAACCTTGGCTAAGTTATCCACATGGGTCTTGAGTTCATACCATCGAATGATCTCAAAGGAGAATGAAACGGTCCTTCACTTCCTCTTGGTTTTCAACACTTCTCTAGCTGATATGGCCTGGTGGTGAGATCTATTTTTTTAGGTCAAATTAGAAATTTTAATCCAATACTTAAGATGTATTTTATCATAAATATTCAGTAACATTAGTTGAAAAACTTACTTGTACTTCATCCATATATACTTCTTTGTCTTGAAAATATTCTCGTGACTGGTGATTCCAGACATTTGAAAATTTGGTTATCAATCTGACTGGTTCACAAATTTCTCTCATTTCTTCATAACTTTTGTGTGGTAACACAGGGAGATTATGCAGTCTGTCTATAGTTAATATGATAGGTCTAAATTTTCTTCGCTGATATAAAGACATTAGTGAGGTAGTCAGCTTCATACCAATCAATATGTCTTTAAAACTGTTGTCTATTGTAAAATTACTGAAGACGATGGAGGTAGTTTCGAAGTTGTATGGACACTGTAAACCAACAGTTTACAGTGTCCATACAACTTCGAAACTACCTCCATCGTCTTCAGTAATTTTACAAATAGACAACAGTTTTAAAGACATATTGATTGGTATGAAGCTGACTACCTCACTAATGTCTTTATATCAGCGAAGAAAATTTAGACCTATCATATTAACTATAGACAGACTGCATAATCTCCCTGTGTTACCACACAAAAGTTATGAAGAAATGAGAGAAATTTGTGAACCAGTCAGATTGATAACCAAATTTTCAAATGTCTGGAATCACCAGTCACGAGAATATTTTCAAGACAAAGAAGTATATATGGATGAAGTACAAGTAAGTTTTTCAAACTAATGTTACTGTATATTTATGATAAAATACCATCTTAAGTATTGGATTAAAATTTCTAATTTGACCTAAAAAAATAGATCTCACCACCAGGCCATATCAGCTAGAGAAGTGTTGAAAACCAAGAGGAAGTGAAGGACCGTTTCATTCTCCTTTGAGATCATTCGATGGTATGAACTCAAGACCATGTGGATAACTTAGCCAAGGTTTTGTGGGGAATTTCCTCTCATTTACACACAACTGATTTTGAATTTGACAGTCGATGATTTCAATTTTTGTAACTCCATCAATTAAAAAAAGTTATTGTTGTATGCAGTTTTTTTCTAGTACAGGCATCGTTAATTATTTTTTGTTTTCAACTGGAAAATCAAAATTGAATCAAAAGAAAGAAGTGACTAATGACAATTGCATAAGAGGTGGCTGTCGTGGCTCAAGTAGTCTTGCTGATAGCTTTATGGCGCGTGAAACAAACTCACAGTGGGAACATTCTTACTCACTGAAGAATGCGCGTCCTGGATTCCAGTTCTAGTCACCATCCATAGAATTACTTCATATCAGAATATCATTTGAAATTGTCAGCTAATGCTGGGGAAACCAATTGAAACACATTCATAGATTGAACAGACGCTGTTAGGAAATTAAAAGTGTCAGTGATTAAATGAACTTTTACATCTTATTTCTGTATTAAATTCACATGTTACTTAAACTTGAAAGCTTCTTCTCATATTTTTAACATACGTTGTAGCGCGGGTTTAGAAGTGGTAGCAAATAAGTGACATTTAAAGATACACAAGCTTCGTTTTCTGTAAATATACTAACAGAGATTATTCTGTCTTTAGCTGAAATATGTACAATTTGCTGAAGAAATTAAGCTATTATAGTTGAGCATGAAGTTGTCTATTTGATGGTGGTTATCAGAATGTACTTTTCGTTTCATTTAGGACAAGCTAGCTAGGTCTGCCTGCATCCGAAATGGTGACGACTTTCCCACTGGCATCCAGACCCATCATAGGTATGTGCAAATGACAAGGCGTTATGCACTAGCCTACTGAGTTGTGAGAGTCTTCTCTTATACGACAGTTATGATTTAATATGATTTGTTCATACTTATTACATTTCACAGACATAGACATATATGCCACTTAAATTGATGCTTCAGTTTTGCTGCGTGCTTCGCTTTCGATCCCAAAACCAATAAAATGCTCAACATGAATTTCACTGATTGCCATCACCAAAAATAGCTTAATGTTAAAAGTCAAGACAGTATCGAAGCATCTACTCAGGGTGCCCAAATTTCAAAATACATCTAACCATTTTAGTCCAGAAATATCATCGAAAATTCACACGTATGACTGAATAATATCAGCATCTTGGTAGACTAAAAGCCACTGTGACAACTTGATTAAAATATCTAGCTTATCAAGTGGTAATTTCTTACAGTTTGGGCAAGTGTCACCACTTGTTTTTTCTCATTTTAACAGTATGCTGACATAACTTTTGACGTAAGTTGTAGTTATGAATCTTTCTCTTATTGGCTAACAAATACATCATTTGGATTCGGAGTGTCAGCTGATTCGCTTCTTTTGTGTTCATTTCTAGAGACGATTCAGACACAGGTAGACAGTTTTCAAAATTAAGTCATCTAGTAGTCTTATTCAGAAGTCAGTTCCAAACTATGTCATATTCATAGATATGAGAATTTTAAATTATAGCGATACCTATTAGGTATTGATTTGATTATCAGGTTGATTTCATCGCTGCACTTTAAATAAATGAACTTTTGTACTTTATTTTTTACCAACTTAAGTTCAGCCATAGAATTTTAGGTAAACACCAATATTTGTTTTTATTGTCATCATCATTACAAATGATTATGTATAGATTAATTGGATAAGTGGCTTCATTTTTATAAGAAAGTAAGTGAACGCTGTCAAAAAACTGATACAATATGGACACAAAGCAAACAGAATGTGTCTTTTTTACGGATGACATATTTAGACGTTTCTTAGAGTTGATACTCAGCTAATAAATGAAACGTTTAGTTGCGAAAAAGCCTGTTGTATTCGCTAGGCTGGTAAACAGTTGTTCAGTTTGACACTCTTACTATTATTCTGATATTTCACAACACAACTGTGTCTACCATTTCAAACATGGTACAAAAACATTATAAATAAAACTATGAGAAAGAAAGCCGAAATGAGTGGATCACTAATGCCGGGAAAAGGAAAGAATATTTGCCCATTATTAAATGCATGGAGGATTTTATCATGAGCTGACATCAGTTAGAGGACCATTGGAAAACCTTGGAGTACTGGACAGCTGTTTCGTCCTAGTTTAGGACCCACCGGGGTTCCAACCCAGGACCTTCTGGTTACAAAGCGAGCTCGTATACCATTGAGCCACTGGGACCCAATCCAATGGTCCTTGAATTCTAACTTCTGCCAATTTACGACATAGCGCGACCATTTCACAATGTCTTCTTCGATGAGTTACTGCCTCATCTTCAACCTGCTGTACCCTACTGGTCACGGCTTCCCACTAGAACCGTGGGTTAACTGCCTGAACAGAGCAAGTCGTTAGTGAGTATCAGATTAATTTTCAAGTCATCAATTTTCATGTCATCTCATGATGAAATCCTCTATGCAATCAAACAAAATCCCTACAAAACCAATACATGAACATTATTAAATGGTTTTACTTTTTACTAAATGCTTATTAATTATATTGTAGATGTTTCTAGGTTGGCCAGTGAAGTTCAATGAACAAAGATTATTCAGTATCTTATTGTTTAAGTTAATATACCGAAATTAATACGCAATAAAGCAAAAGTCAATGTAGCTGACAATGACAAATTAGTTGTCAAGAGTTTGGTTGTTTGGAAACTGTGGTGCTCGACAATTTCTTTTACTGTATTGTTTAAATACTTACTGTTGTTTGTTAATATTTATTATATGAATTACAAATAATTCTGCCAGATGCAAATTTCTAAATTCATCCGTCTCTGTGTTGTCGGTCTCTTTCCTGTAATTCGTCTACTGCGAAATACTACTATTAAAAATAATTATTACAAAAACACTTTGGTCTGTCAGATTAAATTGCTCATTTCGATTTCGTTTGACAGTGGTTTAATGTTCTTTACTCAAAGATGTGTTTCGCTGTTTCAGTGTTAGGATCCTCATGAACCAGGTTGATTCTTAAGTCTACTAGGCGGTTGCGAAACCCTGAAAAGAGGATAGGCTGGGCGTGAGTCTAGTAGACCATCCTCTAAAACAACCCATCGCCATTGGAACTTCAAATCCTAAAGCCCTATGTTCCACTCGGAACGCAAAGGAATGAAATAAAAATTACCAACTGTTAATTAACACTTCTTCATCAGTATTGAGAATGAAGCATAACTAATTCAACTTTGTGGACCCGTAATTAGGATGATTGGTGCTTAAAACCAACCCCGTTTTAAACATCCTGATATAGTAAAACATCTACTAAAACTAGACCAAGTTCACAATGCAATGTTACTGGTGACCATATAAATCACAACTTTTATTTTCATTTATAAAATTCGCCTCAAAGCCAGTCACTCATTAGCGCCAGGATTCATGAAATTAACTTGCTTCAAATATCTTATATATTTCATTAATTTTCTTACTTTGTTGTAATATTATAGCAATATTTTCTGTAAAATTTACTACAGGTAATTCTAACAAATAAAGTTGATTGCTCTCAACTGCGGGAACTGATTCAGACTACACCTATAATCATTGACTTATATGATCGAGGACGTAAACCAGCTAAAATGAACAAACCCAAAAGAAGCGATGTAGGTGGTTTATTTTGTACTGAACCAAATGATGATAAAATCGGTGAAGTTCAACCAAATTTACGGACAAACACCTTTTCAGTAGAAGGTACCCATCAAAAAAATGATGAAACAAATGATGAATCAATAGCATTTCCAACTGGAAGAATCAACGTTGATTTGAGCGAAATGGTTTGGCTGAAATGTGTCACCATGAAACAAAAATTACCGGTATTACCAGTAAGTGAATCTGACCTAGACTTACATAAGTGCAGTAAAGGCACAAAGGGGAACCCCAGGCATATTTCGCGAGATTATATTGGTTACGTGGACTGGCAGTGTCACTTATCAATTGAAATAGAGATAAATATTAACTTAAACGAGTTACTTCACATAAATACTATACCTGGAAATGTGAAGACTTTTGAACGAATGGTTTTCATTTTGGAGAAAGCTGGAAGCAATAAACAAGGTAAAGTCAAAGTTGAATTTATTTTCTCTAATTAAATTAGCTACTAACAAGTAGGCGAGTAATTATTTTGAAATTTAATTTTGTGTTACTTTTAGGGAAATACCTAGTGCCAAATCAGATACTCAACCACTCACGACATTCACAGGTCAGTACACATATTTCCCAAGCATCTTACTCACCTACCACAGAGGAAATACAGTCAAATACCTCTCGAGTTAAGTGAGAAAGATATCTTCTTATTATCCGACATCAAAGGAATTAGGATAAACTTGAATGAAGCAACAAATGTAATTCCACACTACAGTGCCTAAATTCTACTCTTACATCAACAGCGAATGTAGCAAGATAATTCGAGCTCATCTTCAATTATATTCAGTGGATTTTTCCAAAATGTTTACGACCTAAACAGTTAATTAATTAATATAAGCAAGGAATGATGCAGATAGTTACATTAAATGAAGTTATCAAGCATTATACAAACTAACTATTTGTAGAATAGCTAGCCAAATATTCTTCAAAAAAGTGGAGAGTTCAAAATTTTTACGGAAACAACATTTAAATAGCGAATTTATGTCATTATAACAGACTATGCACCTACAAAATGTTTTAAAATATTTAACTTGGCTTTAAATAGGTTGTTACTGGAACACTGATTTGTTGATGCACCAATAATGATCATAGATGCATTAGAATTCCTTCTTTTCTGCATCTGAATCTCTCACTTAGTAAAATTTTATCACTTAAAATGAAGTTTAATTTGGTTAAAACTTGTTTTCTCTTACTTGTTGCACGTTACAGATGTACAAATTTCTGAAGTAGTCAAAAATATCAAATCATTCGTTCTGAAATCCAATGCACATCACCTAGGGATATCAGATGACTTACCAGTGCACATAATACAAGCAAATATAAATTCTAGGCAGTCACAATATATTCCATGCATTTATTCACGGCCTTCAAGTTCAACATCTTTATATTCTACTAAAATAAATAGTGAACAGGATCATTATTTGATGGATCAGTTAGTAACAGGATTTCATTTGATTGACGAAGACTTTGATTTAATTGTCCTTGAAACAGCTAACAGCAATATAAGTAAGAATTTAGAGGAATTATTTAATAAGAGTTTGGATACATTCAGTAGCAATTCAGTGTTTCAGTCTACTGAAGAAAAAAGTTGTGTAAAGTGTTTGAAAAATAGTGGTTTGTTATTTACAGAACGTTTATATGCACCACTGAACTGGTGTCTGCAAGAAAATATTATGGCAGTTCCAATGAGACAAATAACTGGAAATTCAATACTGCATATAAGGGATTTGCTACCCCGTTTAGCCTATTGCGCCATCAATCGAATTACAAGTTTAAGACTACACTGTCAAACGTTGTCAAGTAGTTTTCGAGCAAATTTATTCCCAACCTGTGAAATGATGAAAGCATTATTCAAAGAGTTTTGTGTATCGTCACTTTTAACTAATTTGAAATCATCTCCAAGGAGTTTATCTGTCAAATCAATGCAATCATCTCTGACAAAAATCGATACTGATCAAGTTAGCCAGTATAATTCCACTGATAAGAATGAAGGTAATATTCCAACGAAGGATTTAAGCAAAAATAAAAGAAGGTACTTGTCAAAAAGCTGTTCAACAATGGGTAGATCTTCAAAAAGACCACTTTCAAAAGACAGAAGTTTTTACAATTCGTTTATATTTGATGAGCACTACAACGACAACAAAAATATCATTTATAATTACAGTATTCAATTTCTTAATTCGTCGGTAATTTCCAAAAATGAACTGTATCATGAAATTCTATCTAAGAAAGAAAAGTACGCTTATTGTAATGATTATTTGCATTCAGGAAGCTTCGAAGTAACCCAAGAAGATTGTTATAACAATAAAGCAATCAACAGAAAATTAGCTTTGAGCGCTAAATCCTTTTTCAAATCAAGTTCACGAAATAGTTCCAAGTGCAAAAAAGTGAGAAGGTGGAATAAATCAACAAATCTTTTGTGCGAAAATTCACCATACATCTCATTCAAAGCAAAACTTTGTCGAGACATCAGTGAGAGTCAAAAGTCTGTTTGAAATAAAATATTAAGATTATTTTCACTTTCACTGTTGTTGTTTGTATTTTTAATATATTGTATACTTGATATTTTAAGTAATTTGAATGCGATGTATACTGTAAGCATTCAGCTTTAGATTGTGGATAGTCTGTAGTGGTCATTATTTAAGCATAAACATATGGTATATATTTTATGAAGCCGTTTAATGGTAACGTCAAAAGTCTTGTAGATAAAAAACAAAAACACAAAGAATAACATATATGTAAAACTTGGGCACTGTGGTAGTAAGTAATTCCATATTAGTTTGTTTATCAGATGTATCACACAGTGAAACAGTATTATTTACTGGATGACGTTTCGAACAAAATTTATTGTTCATAATCATATCAGTTATAATCACACGACTTCGAAACTTGAGTTTTATAGTCTTCTTTGTTCCCTCCTATTTGTCATAGGGGTAGTAGAATTTTCCATATATCTGGGACAGGTGTTGAATCATTCCTATTACACGTATTTGCAGTTGATTCGATAAACAAAGCTTCTGTTATCAATCTCAGCCTCAACCCTGTGACATTAGATTTTAAAACTGTCATCCTATCCCATCCTATTGTATGGTTGTGTGTAATTGCATTTAGTGAGTGATATAGCTGAACTATTCTCTGGATTTCTTATCTTATTCTGGTCAACTAATCTAGATTTTCCTAGGTTTTTATGCTCCAGTAGTCTGACTGCCCCTGTTCTACTACTTTGCTCCATGTATTTCACCTGACAATCATTACAGGGGGGGTATTAAAGGCTCCACAGGATCCTTTAACCGACAAAGCTTGTTTCTAATTGATTTTGTGGGTTTGAATGCCACTTTTATTCCTGCCTTGTTAAGAATTCTGCGTAAGGTTTCCGAGGTTCCTTCTTTGTATGGAATTACTACTGATGATTTAGATTCCTTATTGTTGGTGTTGTCTTGCTCATGTTTGACATGCATGTCGTCATTAATATTACTATTAGTATTATTGTTATTACCACTACCACTACTATCATTATTTATTTTATTTTTACATTTCCCTTCATACTTTCTGACGAATTTATCAGGGTAATTATTAAGTTTCAAAGCTTCTCTTATATGCCTCACTTCCTGTCTTAGGTTTTCTTTGGTACTACTTAGTTTGTGTGCTCTGTTATTTAAACATTTCACCAATCTTATTTTCACTGACATAGGATGGGATGATCGGAAGTCAAAATATTGGTTTGAATGTGTGGGTTTCCTGTAAACACTAGTGTTTAACTTCCCATCTTCTTTCCTTTTTACGCTACAATCTAATATTGAAAATTCCCCTTCCTGACTTTCCATTTCATAAGTGAATTGAATTGTGTCCACCTTTGAGTTAATGTGTTAGAAAAATCTATCTATATCCTGTGTTCTAAGTACAGTGAATGTGTCATCTACATACCTCCATCATACTTTTGGGGTGGGGATGAACGTTTCAATCGCTATCTTTTCCCACCTATACATGAATATATCTGCCACAAACGGGGATATTGGTGACTCCATTACAGCTCCATCAGTTTGTTTGTATACATATTTTCCCCTGAAATTTAAATACTGTGGAAGTCAGGCATAGCTGCACTCCCAGCAATATGTGCTCAAGTGGCACTTTTGTTCTAAGTTCGAGTGCTTGATCTGAAATGAGTTCGTTTCTGACTGCCTCCATAGCCATACTTATTGGTATACGTGTATATAAACTGACAATGTCAAAACACAAAGAATATTAAAACTATGGAAACACATCAACTAGAAACAGTCTAAAATTATTCCTGTACGATTTGTTACACTAATTATCTTAACCATATTCTAAGTTCAAAGGTGGAGACCTTGGATGTGAGGGAGTTTCCTTTTATGTTGTCTTTACAGAATTTTACCAGTTATCAACTAAATGATTGACAATAATGATAACTGATGCACTATATACGCAATCTTTGACTGATTAAATCTGCAGAAAGACTCAATACTATGGTGAACTTTCAAATCTCTAAAAGTATTTTTCAATTGGATATATGAAATCGCTAGCAAAAGAAAGGGAAATAAATGGAATAAACTGATTACTAGCTTGCAAAATTCAAATCCAGAAAGTATTTTCCCCTCCAAAACTTTGGTCTAAATGACTGCGGTTTTTGAATTTACAATATCTCAGCTTATATATAGCAACTTAATCATCGTTCATCAGCATTTTCAATTGGCCAATCGGTAAAGAGAACAAAACCAAATGTAGATTGTTGGATTTGATAAGTGTGTAGAATTGTAAAAGCAGCATGTGTTTATATGATGAAATTGCTTATCACATTCGTGTTGATTTTGTCACTTCACGGGGGAGGGTGGGGCTGTCATAATCAGGTCAGATCCTGTTTTAGTCTATCATTCCTATTCAGACAATTAGGATTCCACTTGATATGAAGTGCTTCTGATATTAGACGTTCTTTGTGATTTCTGAAGTATTTCTGGATTATTTCAATATTAAAATCAATTTTGTGACCTGATTCTAAAGCTGATGATTTTCCAAGCTTTTCTAGTTCACTAACTAGATTTCTCGGTGGTCGAACAGATGCTCTACGCTGTTCATTTCTTCTGATTTTGATTTCTCACTAGCGACGTTTGTCCGATGTATATCGCATCACATTCCAAGCATTTTATTTTGTAGACACAATTATATAGAAAATCCTTAGGGATTTGGTCTTTTCCATGGATAAAGTTGCTTTGCAGTGTGTCTGATGTTTTGAAGAAAACTCTGATGTTGAGCTTACTGAGTACTCTTCTGTTATCGTCTGACGCCTCTGTCCTATATGGAATGACAACTGTTTAGGTCCATGTTTTCCACCATATTTAATGTCAATGTTGATTTTGTTGATGTTCTTTGGGTGGTTATTTCTCTTGAGAGTCTCAGTGATGTTTGACATTTCTCCTTCTTTTTCTTTCTCATCCGTTAACATCAAAGAGTGTGCTCGTCTAAGAAGACTTGATGAAACAACTGATACCTTTGTACTGATGGGGTGTGATGATCCGAAGTCTAAATATTTGTTTGAGTGGGTTTTATTCCTGAGTATAGATATATTAAAATATCCGTTTTCCCTCCTCTTAGGCGGGCAGCCTAGAAATTGTATTTCACCGACGTCTGATTCTGCTTCCAAAGTAAACTGGATTCTGGGAGATGGATCGTTTACTTTCTCGAAGAATGAACTGTGTAGATCTCGTTTTATTTCATTCATTAGGAAATACATAAAACCTTTATTATCATGAATATCACTTACCCAGTGTCCAAGTTTTTTCAAACTGTTGAGTGAACTTGGTTTGGAGATATATAATGGAATTCATTGATTTACATTTGGATTTCATCAAACGTAATTCGTCAGATCCGTAAATGAAACATTCATATATCGACCAACTGTTCATCAGGAAACTCCACTTTAACCTGGTGATAAAATCTGAAGTGAACAAGTCTTCATCAGTAGGGACGACAAGGTCGATTTCGACTTAGGTTAACCATGGACTAAAGGGAATCTTCATGAGTTAACATTCCTATTTAACACAGAAAGAAAACCATAGGTTATAGATCAGTCCTACCAATTCAATAGCCATGTGGGAGAATGCCAGTCAGGTGCGCTGCCAGTAACAAGCTTATAATTAATCGGAGATTCATGAATTTGGAATGCTGAAGTGTCCTAAAGCAGGAAGAAATAGCCATCCATTTCTGGTAATGCTGTATTTGATGATACCTGATGAGAGTAGCCTCGAGACTGGTGGCTTAGTTAATTGCTTTGCCGCAAAAGTAATTAGGTTGTTGAACACTAGTCAGTTAGTGTCACTATAGTATAATTCTATTATGGGTAATATTTATTTTGATAAAGTCTTACAGTGTTATACAGTAATATTTACTGATAACGTTTCAAGCACAAATTACTGCTCCTAATCATATCAAGGCAGTACTCACACAAATTCTAATTTCATTTATATAATTCCATTATTTTCCATCCCTTGACTTGATCGGTAGTAGTACTTTCCATATTTCCGGTATGAGTGACGAGTCATTAGAATTGCACGTGTTGGGTGTAGATTCTCTGAACAAAGATTCAGTTATCAGACTCTATCTCCACGTACCTAGATTACTTTTCAGAATTCCAACCCTGTTGTGTGGTTGTTTATTAATGCATGCAGTGCAACTGCTGGTTTTTTTCCAAATTACTTATCTTCTTGGGATCAATCATTCTAACCTCAGCTACATTCTTATGTTCTGACAGACAATCTCGCTACTCCTGACCTACTAGTTTGATTGACCAATGTAGTTGACCTCACTCACAGTCACTGAAATGTTTACCTTAAAACGGTAGTTTTGCAAGTATTTGCTCTCCACAGTAGTTTCACTACAGCTGATAAAATGAATATGCGATCTGGAAATCTCTAAGCACAAACTGAAGAATTGACACCTTAATGAAGGGACGTGAATGAAACACCTAAGTCTTCCCTGGTTGATTGCATCCATAAATATATATATGAACAATAGACATAATAAGAGTAACGCGTTGAACAAAAAGCAAGAAAGTCATAATTAAACTGTGAAAAGAAAATCAGGATATAGTATTAATGAAGCCTTATAAAGGTTCGCAAGTAGGTCTTCTGAGCAAGATGAGATACTTTCCATCAGGTGAACAGTTTACTAAGTGACTATCATAAGGTACAGAAAATCTAAACTACTGTTGATGTGTGTCGGTGGCACAGTGGCAAAGAGCTCGCCGACCACGCATGTGGTCCTGGGTTCGATTCCCGGCCGACGCACTCCTTTACCTCACTAAGTCAGTAATAAGACTAGTAAAGAGGGAAGGTTGAGCATGAGGCTAGCAACCCTATCCCGTAAAAATAAATACCACTGCTACCAAAACTTCAAGACCCTAGCTTGAAGCCCTATGTACCACTGGGAATTTAAAGGAATAATGAAACTACTGTTGATTCGAAGGAGAAGATTGAGAAATGGCTAAATGAATTATTTAAAAGATTGAAACGAGGTTATAAAATGGGATGTCATATAATC